GATGATCCATCCTCATTTACGTTAAATCCCTGTTTTTCGCTGTTGCCTCAGTTCATGTTTAATCTGCGGAGATCACAATTTGTACAGGTTTATATTTGCTTGAAATTGTATTTCCTTTCCTCATTTTTTTATGTATATGACATTCAAACTTTGCTCTTTCTCTCTCTCTCACACAAACACACAGGTGTTCAATAATAGTCCCGATGAGACGGCCTATTTCCGCATTTTATTGAATAGGGAGATCATAAGCAATGCTGCAGTCATGATTCAACCGTCATTAATATCGTATTCATTCAATGCACTACCTGCACCTGCTTTGCTGGACGTGTCATCCATTGGACCTGATCGTATCCTATTGCTGGATTCATATTTCAGTGTAGTTATTTTCCATGGATTGACAATTGCTCAATGGAGAAACATGGGTTATCAGAATCAGCCAGAACATCAGGTGCTCCTTGTTATACTTGTTTGATACTAGGGGTTTACATTCCAAAGTATTATGTTTATTTGTAAAATTAGTTATTTGAAGACGAGGAAGTGTTCTATGGCTCTGCTGAATCAGCAGTATAGAAATGTATTTTCTTCGAATCTTTAATTCAATTTTTATTTTGGAGTAGACTGTGCTTTCACGAAGTAACATATTGCCAATTTTTTCCTTGAAATTCAGTATTTCAGTTTTTATTTTGGGTAGACGTGGTAATATATATTTTCTCATGTATAAGAACACTTCTTTCTAATAAACCTCTTTTTCTCATCTGTATAGGCTTTTGCACATTTGTTACAAGCTCCACATGACGATGCCGAATTGATTATTCGTGACCGGTTTCCGGTGCCAAGGCTGGTGGTCTGTGATCAGCATGGCTCCCAGGTCACCTTTTTGTCTTCATCTTAGTTGATGGACTTGCACATTCTGTGTTTTTGTGTGTAAATATAGCTGTGAGCTAACTGTTGAATCTTCACTTTAGCTTAATGATGCACATTTCCGGATGTTCGCTCGGAGTATGTAGCACTTACCTGTTCCAATTTTTTGAAATGACAAGCATTCTTGCATCTGTTCCTCCTTCCTCCAACCTCGTTTGCCTTAAGATAGCAACTGGTTTTCCTTGTGATGACGTTGTAATACCTGATTATAGCTAAATTAAAATTGGTTTCCTCGTGCCTTTGTTTGTAATACTTGGACCTGTTTTGAGCAGGCAAGATTCCTGTTGGCAAAGTTGAACCCATCTGCGACATACAATAATGCACACGAGATGGCAGCTGGCTCAGATGTGATTTTCACCGATGATGTGAGTCTACAAGTGTTCATTGATCATCTTCAGCGGCTGGCTGTCCAAGCTTCTTAAGAACGTGAAAGATTTGGGATTCCTATGGTCAATTTCTCGATTTTGTGGAAATCAGAAGTTCAGAGCCATCACTATTAGAATCAAGAACAGTTCTTTCCAGGGGCGTGCGAGAAGAGATGCTCCCATTTTTCAACAGAAAAAAGGGGCTTGAGAATTGTTGTTTAGACACATTGTTGAAATGGTCAAGTTGTAAATTAAAGACTCAATTTTGGTGGACAGACAGTTTAGCAAGGTATTGATATATTGATAGTTTTTTTTATTTTTTTATTTTACCTTCATTTATGTAGGTACCAAGATTACATAGTTTCTCGTCTGTATTGAATTTTTAAGATCTAAGAATGTTTTTATTCTAGACGCCATTGAGTCTTATAAAATGTTTATGTAAAAAGTACGTGTGATAAGTTTAAATTATAATTGGTTTGCCAAAAATGCACTGTGCAACCATTTCGTGAATTGAAGAAGATTGGACGAAGCGTATATTTCTTGATTCAAATAGGAACGTAAGTTAGTAATGCTTTCGAGTTGTAGCACTTGGTTGTCACATTTTTGAGATGTTCTCATTTTTTTTGTGCTACTATGTGAATGGCTTTTGCTTTTATTTCCTCTTACTGACTAACCAAGAAAGGGCCGGGCTGGGCTGGGCTGGGC